TCTCTTGTGAAAAGTTTTCTCATTGGCAATCATACCACATATTCTTTTTTATAAAAAATCAAAGTACTGAAGTACTAAACATCGGATGACCGCAAGTTCTCGTGGATAGTCACAAGCACAAAAGTCGTGTCTCAGAAAAAAGTGAGGTTAAGGTACATATATATAGAGACAAGTTTGTGCGTGGATGATGAATAAATGACAGGGTATTTAACCTCACCGTAATAATTATTATATTGAAGGGATACAAATTAGTGTTGTTTTATATTTTATTAATATTTGTATATATAATTTTTTATCCATTTGTATATCATTCTTTTTTGCTATTCAAATAATAGTGTAGTGCAAGTGCATGGTGGACACTCTTCTGTATTAATTGGATTTTTCTAATAGATTGGACTTGAGTTGGCAATCATATTTTCCCGCAAAATTTCTTGAAATATTCTTCCGCATGCGTTAACACAAATTTTCGGTATTCTTGATTTGTTATTGATATATATATATATTATATATATATATATTTCTCACGACAGAACATTTTCATATCATTTATCTATGTTCTAAAAAAATATTTTCATGAATATTTATTGATGAAATTGATATATAATAAGCAATAAGGAATGTTATTTTGCGTTCGGTTATCAGTCAAAAAAGAAAGTCACGTGGGTGGAAATGACTGTGGCAACAATACACCGGAATGCCCTCACGGTCATCCGATGTAAAAATCAATTATGTGGCGCTAATACGCTTCCGTATTTAAACCTGTTTCACTTAAGAGGCAAAATAATTAGACAAATAGCAAGTCTGGATTCGCCTGCCTGGTGATGCATACAAAGCAGAAGGCGTTTGTTTATCATCTGGCCTAGATCCGTTTTAAGATAATAAGTAACCATAATAAAAAAGGGAGATGTGGTATGATTGCCAATGAGACAACTATCCACAACAGTTAAAATGAAGTGGGTGTAAGTATTTAGAGACCATCGAATGGCCTTCAACAATGAAAAAACTCATACCGTATAGTTTGCTATAAAAGGCAATTAGTTTGTTTTCTCATTTTAAGTATCTTCTTAAATTGTTAAAATATAAAGTCATAGTCAATTCATAGCCCTAAACACGCATGCCTTGTAAAGGAGAAGCGAAGAATACCAGACATCAAAACTCATAAGTGGAAAATAAACCAATAAAGCCATGGCAAAAAAAGACAAAGACAAACAACAGCTATAATATAAAAAAAACACGACATAGAAAACTTAACACTGAGCAACACAAACCCTACCAAAAAAAAAACCAGGGGTGATCTCAGGTGCCCCGGAAGGGTTAGTAGATCATGCTACAATGTGGCACCAGTCGTATTGCTCATGTAAGTACACAACCGGTGATAAGTCTAGATCGGTAGGTCACATTCGGGGAACAGGAGAACGGGCCTGTGGTTACGACGACTAGAAATATATCAGCTGATGGAATTTGCTACCTAGAAATGGAAAGTCCACAATTGGGAGCCTGAAATCATCTCTTTTGTCGTAAAGTATTGTTGCCAACCAACCCGCAATTTTAATCTCTAAATGTAAGTCAAGATATAAGGCAGACTTAACTGTATCTGTAGGGGTGAGCAGCTGAGACATCAAGTACCCCTCCCTTTTCATATATTTTCTTTATCAAAAACATATACCTTGTCATATATCAAGAAACAAAAACAGACCTCTGGTACATTAGTATAGAGATATTATTTTTTTTTTGGGGGGGGGGGGCTTGCAATTCATTGCTTTTTTCCATAAATTCTTACACTTTCCTCTATTTGCCCCTTTTATATATCTTTCATTGTGAAGAAATTTCAACAGACAATATTTATAGCATCTATAACTAGCATCAGTGGAAATACTACATTGGAATAAATAGAGATTAATTGGTTGGACAAATAGCTGATACATTTGCGATTGTGCTTTAACCGCATCAAAAATAAATACTGACACCTGATAGTTTCAGATACTTATGATTTAATCAAGCAAGTGATAACATCAACTTAGTGATATATTTAATCTGAATTTCTCACCCTTTTCATACATCATGGAGCATGAAATAGTGACCTATTCCAGCGACTCATCCCTACCACTCATTACATAGGAAATGCCCCCCCCCCCCCTCTCGAGTATATTATATTCTTACTCGAAGTCAACATCCGGATGTAGTGATACTGCGAACTGCTAGCACTTTTGTCAGCTCAAACCTAACAAAATTATCTCTTCATGTCTAACACAAAAAAGACACAGCCGCGTGTTTAGACATTGGAGGCATTGAAATGATGCAACACAACTAATTTAAACCAGAAATCGCTGTTTGATTTGTGCTGTTTATGCATAATTCTAGAACGGTAAAAGTGACGCCACCCAAATTCACACTTGATTATTGATTGGTGGTAATAAACATTGCGTTTAAGTTTCATAACATTTGGCTGAGGCAAACTTAAGTTAGAGAATGGTAACCAATTCGGGGGCGTACGGACGTACAGACGGACAAGGGTGAAACTTAATACCTCTTCGCTACGGAAATAGTCAGATTTCTTTTGTTGAAATCTTTTTTAAAAATAATTCTCGATTTTTGTTCTTATACTAAATTAAATTAAGGGATTTGTCCATATGCATACATTTTATGTATACCCATTCTCGCTTTTTTTTCACTCTAGTAAAGTTGCAGCGTAATCGAGAGCGTAATGATTGGCATGAATACTAAACAGATGAGGCTGTTACGATAACAAAAATACAAGAAGTCATTCAACCTTAGGTCACCGAAATACAAGGAAAGCTACGTCAGAGTACTTTATCTGTACATGCGTATATGAATAAGGAAAAAGTTTGTGATCGAGTCTTGTTCTTGTCTAACTTGGAAATTAATTAAACATATATATTTTTTTCGTTTACAAAAGGTAAAGTATTTGTTTATATATATAATTTTTATATACAAGTAAATTGTAAATTATATATATGTAAACAAGATTTAAGTAGCAACATACAACGACATAAAGTAATCAGATGCTAAATGTATATAAAAACGAGCTGCATCAATTATTTGACGATACTATTTATCATATTAAAGCTAAAACAGTCGGGTTACAGAATTATCTATTATAAACTGATTTTTCATGTTTTGATTTGGTCTTAGATATTTTCATTTTTTACAGAAATTTTGACAGTTTTTACATATAATCATAGAAATAAAGTGTGTACTGATTATCTGAACTACAATACTAGATTCGGTCGAATCATCATGTTTGATAACACGCAGAAAGACAAGCAAATTTAAAACTCAATGAAAAAAGAGTGTGCTCATATCTACTTTAAGAACTCTTTTCACTCAGAGGCGGATTTAAGGGAGGGGGCATCACCTCCACCTTCTTGAGATGCTTCATATACTGTTGCATAATCCACACTTTTTACCTGTTCAACTCCAAACTTTTTCTATGTAGGGGCAACGCCCCCTTTCAAATCCTGGATCTGCATCTCTTACTATACGTTACGGGTTTAATTATCTATTTGGTAACATATTAAAACTTTCAAAAATATATAATTTGTTTACTGGTAAAACACTAACTGGCAAACGATGCAGATTCATGGTTAAAGGGTCATCCAAATGATAAAGTGAATGGAGACGAACAATCGTATCTAAATATTCAAGATACATTCTTCCAACTGATTACTTAGAATCAGTAAATACAACAAAAACTTGCATATTCATATATTATTTTCTTTTGTGTGAAAATGCAGTATTTCTGAATATCTTGTTTCTCTTTTTGTTATATTTTTCTATGAATTTAAAGCATTACATATGATGACATGTAAAACCTTGAAAAAATAGAACGACAAACGATCTGTGAGAGAAAAAAAAACATTTCTTCACTTCTTTCATCCGTGGCTAACCATATTCGAACTAGTCGCATCGATTTGGTGTAACGATAAATTCTGATGTATAATGAGAATAAAGCACTGCCAAAACTTTTTAAACTGAAAAACGCAACAATCAGCGTAGAGGTCCTCATTGTTCCTTTTGATGGCATGGTGGAGGGTATTTTTTCTACTGCAGTCTAACATACTCGCCTTAACCAATGACAAATGAAATACTTGTAGAACCCAATGTGCCGTCAATAATTTGCTTTCAAATTTGCATGTACATGAAATATTTCCCACTGGACGTAAAACAAACAACAATAAATCACCAATCACTTTAATTTATTAACTTATTAGGATAAGAAAATTAATGTATACTCTAGTCTTTCATAAGAAGGCTGCTTGATATACACATTTTTTTTTGGTACCTTTAATTCGGAAAAGAAAATCATAAAAAGTTCTCCTATGTACAATTTGTTTTTCTTCTTATCCGAATTCGGATAACGCAAAGACGACTTAATATTGAATATAGATATACTTATCCGAATTTGGATAAGATTCGTCACATTGCATACTTAACTCTGTGCGGTAGGTCATGCATTCTTCTTATCCGAATTTGGATAAGAACAGTTATTATTCCTTGATAATGTGTATTATGTATTCTATACAAATTCGGATAACATTAGTTTCTCTCCTTATGTCTAAACGATGATAATTCAATTATTTATTCTTCTTGTCCAAACTAAGATAATTAAATAACTACTGCAATTTTAACAAATAATGTTTTATAAAAAAAAAGAAATAGGTCTAAATACATTATTGTATTGAGTTCATCTTAAAAAAAAAAGTGTTGCCTTCCAACATTCTTATTTCAGAAATCTCGCTTATCCGAAACACCCATTGACTTGAGCATATGGAAATGCTCAAAAGCAATTGGAAGCTGTTACTAGGATAACAAAAAATCATGGAAAAAATATTTGGTATTCTGAATTATACTCAAGTTTTATATTTACCAAAAAAATTCAACCGGTATCTCATCAGTGTAAAATAATTTTTTTGGTACTAAAGAACCTTATGAAATTGATTTCAAATATTATATTACTAAAAAGATGCTTGATTACCTACCAACATGTTAACAATATCAGACATCCAAGTCTTACTCCCAACACCATGAAAACATCATTATAACAACCTAAAAATAAAAAAAATAAAAAAATAATTACTTGTTTTACAGATCAATCTGTCTCTAAGAAGACTAACAAAATAATGCTATGTTTCATTTATTAAAACCTGTTATACATCATCATCTTCACTATATAAACTTAAACTGCTAGAGATAGAAATTGACCTTGTGCAAGTGCACATTTATGTATAAGACAATGATTTTGGAATATTCAATTACAAAATCAAATGGTTTTGTTCTCTTTTGATGGTTCTTAAAATCATTTTCATAACAGCGTAGACAACCCCAATACTTATGTTGGTAATAATACTAACTCAATTACTGTAAATTCAGAAACTATTGCAATGTTTTTATTATTGTGAAAAATGCAACATGGTTGTATTGGCAATAATCTAAACTAGCATTTTGAAATTTTTTATATGAATTAAACAGGATTTTTCTCAATATCGCAAAAATTAAAATCGCATTTTAGTCTAAAATTACAAAATCGCAATGAATGAATGGTTATTTATTTTGAATTTATTGAACCATAAAATTAATTTTTGACTCTTCACATTGAATAATCCGAGAAGCGGATTATGTAAAATGTGAAGAGTCAAAAATTAATTTTATGGTTCAATAAATTAAAAATAAATTATAGCCATTCATTATAAATAAATTTCTATCAAAAATAAGGCTCAAAGAACTTTTATATTATTTATATTAACCATAACAACGTACACGGATGTTGGTGTATGAATATACAACGTCAGAGTGGGCGTGTCGCCATAAAAATTGACATTGAAAATAAAAGTAATACTTTTAACCAATCAGAAGACAGTAAATACACCAAATTTATTTATTAATAATTGCACGCAATAATTTCTGAATTTACAGTACCTTTAACTTGTTTGCCATTGGCTATCGATAACAATGATTTTACGCTCACTCAGTCTGTCAGAGGCCTTCCAATAGGGATTTAAATAGAATAAAAGAGCAAAGTACATGTAGGCACAAGAGAAGAAAAAAAGAAAATAATTATTCAACATATAAATCAACACACAAGGTTTAGTCCTCTGCTAGTAATTCGTACTATTTGATGTAGGCATTTAGAACCTTTGGCGACCCCAGTTTAAATGTCTATAACACATTCAATTTGACAAGTGGGCGTTTCAGACAAACTTTCACCTTATCTGACCCAGTCAATAGATAACATAAGAGGCCAAGAAATCGTCTTGTCCACGCTTTTATGAAAATGATTCTATATCAATTCAATATTCAAACAGTTACAGACTTTGCATAAAAATTTGTTCGACCCAAATAAGTTTACAAATTCATTGATAATAATTTGCATACAGTTGGTTTCTATCCAACACAACTCACTTGATACCAGACAGAAAACAAATGTAAGACTAGATACTCTTAAAATCAAACACTGATAGAAAAGAACCCTTAAAAAATAATGTTAAATGCCTATATATATATTATTACCATAAAATTTGTGGAATATATAAACTAACCACATATTTTTCATGGTAAAGCCTCAGACTTGGTGAAGATTAAATTGACCATCTCGCTTAGAGCTGCTCTCCCGGCTGACAAGGTGGCTCTCCTCATCATCTTAACATCTTTTTTTTTTTAAATATAGTTTTATACATTAAATATATCAGATGCATTTCCAATAAATCCCCTTTCTTGAAAATTTCAGCAAATCAATTGTTAATGACCCAAGATTTCTCCCACCCTGCATACTTATTATCTAGAGCTCTGCTTACATTTATTTTTTTTTTTATTACAGAGCTCTAAATAATAGTCAATATTAGCTAGTATACATCTGATATTAAAAAAAAAAGTACAAACATGAATATCCAAGTAGATGAAAATCCTAACATTGAGGGAATTTCAAGTATGTGGACTTAAACAGGGGTATAATAAATTGCCTCCCTTTGACCCAAATTTCACCCTGTTCGGACTCCACATCCTTGTTATATTAAACAAAATAAAATAAAATAGTACAATTAAAATTAAAAAATAGATTGATAACAAAAATCTAACACATTTCAATAAAATATTTCGTACTGATCGACTTATGGTGGCAAAGTGGTCCTATAAGTAGTTCAACTACTGTATCACTAGCCTGTCAACACTGAGAACCCTCACATGAAATGTGTAACTTCATTCTTAATTTGACTCAGGTTTGCCCGTTTCCATGATGAAGGTGATGTTTTCACCAGGCACTCTGCTTGTCTCCACAAATAAAAATTTACAGCCAAAATTATAGTAAATCATGTTAAAGTGGTGTTTAACACCAGAAATCAACCAATCCAATTTCAACAAGATGTTCTTCAACTATGCCTTTTGTAAAATTATTCTTTGAAAAATATCACCTTGGTTACAAACCAAAATCAGCTAAAAATGACAAAAAAAGTGCAAAAAATATATTTCTAACTTCTTAACTTCGTAAATTCCTCTGCATTAGAGCACCCTTGTCACATATCTTAAAGATATTAAATTTAACATGAAAGAAAAGGTTGTAAGGGGATATATTTACTGCAGACCATTATTCATCTTTTTAGTTTACACTAGAGAGGCATTTGCTATGGTAAGGTATTTTGAAACGTTGCTAAAAAAAACCAAAACAATTAAAATTTTTGCTAAGAAATTTAGTGGGAATATTTACATCGGCAGATTTAATTGCATTAACTACATGTATAAAGTAACTTGTAAAATTTGAAAGTATCTCAAATCCTAAAATAACAAAAAGATGGCAAAAATATATATTCCAATTTGCAAAAAAAAATACATTTCAATATTTGAACATTTTTTTTTCTTTTTTCTTTCTTTTTCTTTTAGATTATCCATTCTTAAACTGCTGGAAGTGTTTTGACTAGACATGAGTATAGACGGAAAATAGAAAGAATTTTTGTAATGTCAAATACAAGTTAACCTACAACTTCCAATCTTGTTGAAAATGGAGAATCTTTACATATTTTTTTTGTAAAAAAATTATAAACATTTTCTCAAGCATACACAAAAATAGTCTGAATTACATTCTTTACTGTTGCAGTTATATCACACAACCATTTTATGCAGCCACAGTTATCTGAAAAAGAAATATACATTACTCATGAACATTGAAATAATATTTAATGCAAAACAATTATAATTAACTGAGCATTACAATTATAATGTATAGAACATTTCTTTTTCTTTGTTATAAAGTGATTTGTTGACATAAATTTTAAAGTACCAGTATTTCTTAGGATGAAAAACAAGTCATTGGCTGATGTCTTGACAAATATCTTTTCAACGTTGTTTTATAGCTATATATAGTATATCAGGCTATTAACATACTTGATTGAATTTTTTAACATTTAGTCATGTTGAACTTTTATAGCTAACAATACAATATAGGTTTTGCTCATTGTTGAAGGCATAGGGTGACATTTAGTTGCATTCACATCATTTGGTCTCTGGTTGATAGCTGTCTCATTGACATACATACCACACTTACATATTTTCATATATGGGGACAACTATAGATAACAAAATAACTGAAATCCCAAGATTTCGCATTATACATTATACTTTTTGACTTCCCTTATATATCTTTATACCTCCTTCTAAATTGTTTATTCAACTATAAGTAAAGAAGACATTAATATGTAAGATCTACATCTGTGCCTAACAAAAATCTTGGGCTTTAAAATGCTCTTGGATGAAAAGTTCATAAATCTATGTATTGATTCTTACCATTAAAGTCAGCTCCAATGCCCATTCCCAGCTTCAATCCTTACAGACAAGCTGTGATGCTAACTTGAAATATAAAATGATAATTCATTAATAAAACCCTGTAACTCGGAAACATAAAATCTAAAATTTATAAAAATTGAAAGGGAGCTAATAGATATAAACAATTCACCACGATTACTTGCAAGTTGGTTAAAGCATTCTTGAAAAACTGGAAATACCCCCTTTTTTTAATGAATAAAACCCCATAACTCGGAAACGTAAAATCTAAAATTTATAAAAAACGAAAGGGAGCTCACGTCAATAGATATAAACAATTCACCAAAGTTTTATGCAAATTGGTAAAAGCGTTTTTGAGTTAATGTCCGACATGTTGACGACGGACGGACGAACAACGGTATACCATAATACGTCCCGTAAACGGGCGTATAAAAACTGTTTAAAAGGTACTTTGTTGGTATTATGTATGTATATTGAATAGATTGAATGATTGGTTGTTGGTTGCTTAAGGTCCAGTGGCAAATCATTAAATAGAAATAGTCTTAAAATGTGTTATATATGTCAAGAACATATGGATGAGACAGCATTCCAACAAGCCAAACTTTTTTATGTAAACAATTCAGATCCTAAACTTTACTTTTATTTGGTTACTAATATAATAAGAGTAGATTCCTGTAAAAAATCTTTTAAGTGTTCAAATCTTGTTTATCCATAAAATATTTATAATACATTTGAGTTTTCCAAAACAGGACTAACATACTGGTACATACCTTTGTATTAGCTGTATAAGACCACCAAGTCCTTTTTCCACACCATGAAAACATGTCTCAGAAAGAACCTGAAATGAAATTATAATCAACACATTATACATTTTGTAAATCAATTTATGTGTTACCGATAACCTAAAATTTACTAAATATTGTTCTGATTTCTTATTGCAGGTAGACAATTGTATAAAATCATTTTTTTTTCAAATCAATATAAAAGATAGAAAAGTAAAAAAATGTCAGATTTAAATTTAACTGCACAAAAAATATCTGAATATTTTAAAAAGTTATCTCCCATTGAATGCAAAATCGTGTTTTAAATTGTACTGGTCTTTTCTTGAAGTTTAATGACTTTTTTTAGGATTTACTATTGATATTTTAATAGAAAATCTTGTTCATGTATCTTGTATCTTTAAATACAAAACTGGTAAATTAATTCCTCAATGGTGTTTTAAATGCAATATTTCAGAAGGGTCTGTTATCTTAAAAGATCTGGCTAAAATAAACTTGCCTTTTCTATTTTCATGGTAAAGAGTCAGACTTGGTTGAAGATTTAATTGACCATCTTCCTAAGAGCTTCTATCCTGGCTGACAAGGTGGTTCTTCTCAATATCTTATTGTCAATCTATGTTGTGTCCATTTGTTTTTAGAAAATAAAGTAACATACATAAAAAATGTCAGATGCACTTTCAATTAATAAACTTTTTGAAAAATTTCATGTAATTATTTTAAGTGACACATAATTTTTCCCACTCTAAATTTCTATTATCTAGAAAACATCTGATATGTAAAAAAGTGCATAAATGTGAGTATCCAAGTAAATAAAAATCTAACATTGAGGGAATTTCAAGTATTTGAAGTTAAACACAGTATAATAAATTACCTCCCTTTGACCTAAATTTCACCCTGTTAGAACTCCACATCTTTGTTATATGCTTCTTGTAAAATATTCTTAAAATAATATACCCTTTGTTATAAACTCAGCTAAAAATGACACAAAGGTGAAAAAATATATTACAATTTGCAAAAATAAAAAACATTTCAATAATTGAACATTTTTTTCTTTTTCTTTTTTTCTTTTCTTTTTAGATTCTCCATTCTTAAACTACTGGAAGTGTTTTGCCTAGACATGAGTATGAACAGAAAATAGAAAGTAATTTTTGAAATTTCAAAGACCTATTAACCTACAACTTCCAATCTTGTTGAAAATGGAGAACCTGTACATAATTTTTTTCTTTTTGTAAAAATTATAAACATTTTCTCAAACATACACAAAAATAGTCTGAATTACATTCTTTACTGTTACAGTAAAATCACATAGCCCTTTTATGCAGCCACAGTTACCTGAAAAAGAAATATACAGAATTAAACGTAATTGTCAAAATCTGAAAATTGAAACATCAAATGCAAAATAATAAATAACTGGTCATTATAATCATGATTCATAAAACCCTTTCTCTTACTTTGTTTAAAAGTGATTTGTTGATATATTTTTTGAACTTCCAGTCTTTATTAGCAGAAAAGGATGAAAAACAAGTCAATGGTAGATGTCTAACATATTTCTTTTTTTACATATTGTTTTGTTTTGTATTGGTTCTTACCATAAAAGTCAGCTCCAATGCCCACTCCCAGCTTCAATCTTTACAGACAAGCTGTGATGCTAACCTGAAAAATAAAATGATTAGCCATTCAAGATTGTTTAAAAGGATCATTTTTGATATACTGTATGTATATTCCATATTTTGAATGATCGATTCATTTGATTGTTGGTTGCTAAATGTCCAGTGGCAAATTAAATATGTCTATAAATATGTAATAGAAGTTGAGAACAGCAAACCAGCATCCCAACAAACTTTTACATAATCAAATCAGATAATTAAATTTACTCCTTTAAAGGCAATTAAAGAAAGCAAAGACTTCTTACCAAACTCCTACAAACCTTCACGCTTAGAGCACATGCTATTTCCAAATACATTTTATAATACTTTTTCTTTTTCAAAACAGGACTAACATACTAGTACATACCTTCGTATTAGCTGTATTAGACCACCCAGTCTTATTCCCACACCATGAAAACATGTCACAGAAGAACCTAAAAAGAATTAAAAAAGACACATTATATATTTTACAAATCCATTTCTCTATAAATATAAAGTCACTATATAATGTTCTGATTTCTTACAAATGTACACAATAGTATCAACACAAGTTTGTAAGATAAACTGTTGACAGAGATGTCTCGCCTAACAGCGGAAAATGAAAAACATCTGATGATTAGCAACATTGCTAATTAATTCGATAATTTGTTAGTAATGCAAATAAATACAAAATGTCATTGATCTATAGCAAGGAGTAACTATTAACCTGACTAAACAGAAAACTTAATGACATAATAAAAATAAAACAAGTCAAAGGTTTTTGTTTGGAATTTAACTGCACAAAAGTGATGTGCAAATCCTTAAGAGTTATATCCCATTGAATGAACAAATCTTGCTGTTAATTGTACTTGTCTCCCCTTGAAGTTTTAAATATTTTGATCAAAAATCTTGTTCAAGAAAATGGTAACTTAAATTATAAAACTTATTAAAATTAATACATCAATGGTGTTTTGCATGCAGAAGATCAGAAGGGTGCTGGCGTGTTGTCTTAATATGCACTTCTTGTCGAATATTTCTAGAAAATGTATACAAATATTTGGCTTAAATAAACTTGCCTTCTTAATTTCTTGGTAAAGCCTCAGACTTGGTTGAAGATTTATTTGACCATCTTCCTTGGAGCTGCTATCCTGACTGCTTTCAAAGGTTTTCCATCATAGTTTTTATGCTAATCAGTCCACTGAATCCATTTTATTTAAGTAAAGAAATGTCCTTTCCATTGTACATTATAAAATGTACAATAGTCACCAGAATGTTCCAAGGCATCTCACATTTTTTCAATCATGGAAACTGAAGAAATTCTCAATTCAAAATACAAATAATTTATAAAATTCATTTAAAAAAGTACTGTAAAAATACCAGACATGCTTTTAAACAGGTAACTTGTATTTTGATAATTTACGAAATGTATTCTGTACCCCACAATTCTCCCACTCATTAAAAGTATATTTTAGAACTATGTTTACATTTTTTTTTATTTACAGAGCTCTAGATAATAGCTTTTATATAAGTTACCAGACATCTGATATGAAAATACTTATACAAATGTAAGAAAAAAAGTACAGTGTAGTAATAGTACAATAAACACATATAAATCAACATTTTTAAAATATTTTGAATATATATAAGAAGATGTGGTATGAGTGCCAATGAGACAACTCTCCATCCAAGTCAAAATTTATAAAAGTAAACCATTATAGGTCACAGTACGGTCTTCAACACGGAGCCTTGGCTCACACTGAACAGTAAGCTATAAAGGGCCCCAAAAAATTACTAAGCATAGTTTAATCAAAAATATCTCGTTTTCAAGGTTTACTACTCATGTACATAGTAGTATGTATAGTCCCAAAATTTGTAAAAGCCTCTATAGATTTGCAAACTCTCTGAATTCCAAAAGATATGGGTTAAAAAATTTATTTTACCTTTGATGAAAAATTACTTAGTTCCCAAGTCAGGAAAAAAATTATCAAACAATTCCATAGTACCAAGTGGACAACTTAAATATTTGTACAATCATTGTGTGAAGTTAAAAAGATTGAGATTGAAAACTGCAGGAGTTGATTACACAAAATCAGTACCATCTTTGAAAATTTTGGAAAACAATCAATAAGATCAGAATTAAGGCAAAAATGGGAGGAAATTCCTCAAACAATTCCATATAAGCAGGTACACAACTTAAAAATGTACGCAATTATTCTGTGAAGTTTCAGTTGTACAAGAAAAAGCTGAAATGAAAAAATACAAATATGATGCAAAATGATATTACATGTATCAAGTATGAAATCTTTAGATTTAATAAAAAAATTTAGAAAGAAAAAATTAAGAACTCAAAGAAATGATATAAATACTGATTCTTTATAATAAAAATTAATTTCAATACTTTATAATTTAAATTCATTTCAAAACTCAAATGGCACGTAATACTTCAATAAAATATATTTTTACTTTAGTTTTATACTTGAAATAAAAATAGTAGCAAAATTTACAATTGAAAAAGTAAAATTTTTTGTTCCCAGATTATTTATGAAAGCATTTTCGATTGGTTATATCAAAATTTGTTTTATGTAAGATTACTTCCAATGACTTTTGTCAGAAAAAAAGGAAAATCACTGATATCTTGACAATAATGGACTGAGGCAAGGTTACTGCACTCTCCGGAATCATTGGTTCCTTAAATGGATAAGAACCAGAAGCAGCCAATATACACACTTACAGGAATCAGCTCTTTTTTGCTACCGGGAAAAGAAAACAGATTACCAGTTAAATCTAAAATAGTCTGGTTATCTTTAACTTTTTTAGTGATTAAATCCCCAAAGTCTGAAACAGGGTCTAATATAAATCTAAAACTGCTTGGTTGACAGAACTGATTGTAAGCTATCGCTCAGGCAAAAATAATATCGTATATAATGCCTACCCATGTTAAAACTACAAAAAAGTATAGCTTGCAACAATTATTTCTTAATTATTATGGACTAATGGAAAACTCCTTTGAACTAATGAGGCTAAAGTTGGATCCCTGTTAAAGAGTCAACTTCTTAGATTACTCTTTGTCTGGCCATGAGTTTCAAAAAGGATCCAATGAAGAATAGCTGCAGTCAGTTATTTATAATTGGGTTTTACTTATTTTATTTTTTTAAAGTATTTTATGATGGCAAGTGCTTTACCTATATTGTAATTACCAAATTTGAAAAAAGATAGAATGGTTTGATACCAAGGAGCAAATTAATTTATGTTGTAATTCAAACGGTATGATAGGGTTAAGATCAGTCTAATACCTTTTTCAATAAAAGATCTAAATTGTATAAAATGAGCTATATTTCAACAAACTTATGATTTGAAATTTGAAATTTTTGTGTTGTACAATCTACTCCTTTTCATGTACACATGATAAATAGAATAAAATAGACCAGTTTTCAGCTCCTTTTTTGTGATCTTGAAATGATCCTGCTCACTGTCAATACTTTTGATTGCTAAAAAAGAAAAATTGTTTCAAGAAGCTGGACAAAATTATCCTTTAATATATTGATCACAGAATGGCTTGGGAAGTTAAAAAGATTAATTTTCTATTAAACAGGAAATTTTTACAAAGAAATGCTTAAACTCAAGACAATTTAATTTTACAAATTACGATGAGCAATTGTTAAATGGGACTAACAAGTAAAATTAAAACATTAATACCAGTTGTCAATTATGGTCTCATAATAATGAAGTTATCATTAAATGTCTGGAATCTGTGGATGAAAACCTAGTGTTGAAGGTGAGAGTTGAAAATTAACTCAAGGTTGAGAAGCTTGAAGCAAAGGGAGATAACTACTGTAAGATATCGGGATTGATAAGTTAGATAACTCTTCACTTGGAGATGATGATAGTTTCAGATAACTCAAAATGAAGTTTTTAGGGTATTGGAAATCATTATGAATTTTGTTGGTCATCTCAACGAGATTGATTTTCTCCCTTGAGCCGGTACCGCGAAAGTGAGAAAAACAATCAAGTTGAGATGACCAATAATAATCTCTTTATCGCTATTTTGCTTATGACGATGTTGAAATTTACATTGACAATGGCACGTGCAGCCTTAGTTTCTAGAGATACTTTCCATATCTTTCTACTATGCTGAGAAAGGAAATTATCAGTAAGATCAAAGGAATATTCAGTAAAATAGTGATAATAATATATATATCATAGAAATTTATTATTGTTCACCAAATATTAAGACTTGTACAAGCTTTCAGTCATGTAAGAATTAATAACCTTTACGATTATGTTTATAACTCTATAATAAATGTAGATTAAACATCCAAATTCTTTTTTGTATGGCAGAATTTTCGTTATGGCTTGACTGTTATAAAAATGTATTTTTACTTCTTTATTATCTTAATAGCGATCAGTGCTTTAAAGATGTAGATACCCAGAAACAATTTTAAAGAAGATAAAGTTTATCTAAAAAAATGTTTGGATCATTTTCCACTTCCCCTGAATTCAACTTAATTTACGAGAATATGTTATTTAGTTTTCCAATTCATCATAATATGTCAAATACAATTTAGATTTTGATTTTGATTGAAGATATTCATTTTCAATTTTGAAAATAAGAAATTAAAGAAAGTATGAAAATCGTACAGATTCAAAGTTCAAAGCAGCTTTATGCTCAAACATTTGATTATTTTTTTTATGACTAGAAATATCAAATATTTTTCATTTCAGAATTACATGTATAGATTCCTTCGAATGGTAAACACCACACCCTAAATACCTCAAAACCAAAGAACCATCCAAAGAACAACTGAAACAAACAGAAGATATAACCAACCCTACTACTTAAACACCAATAAGCAACTTTGTTATATGTTAGTAAAGACACGCAGCGCTCCAAGCATAATGTATTTCTGAAATGATCATTTGATATTTGTTAAGTCTACACCAAAACTCTGAAGATAAAGAATGTTTTGCTTCGGAACTTTGCATGCACTAGACTACGAGTTTAAATCAATTTCAAGTACTATGTTATTCTATAATCTGACAACTACAATGCTTTGAAAATTTGAAAATTTTAGGAAAATTATTATTTCACTATAAATCTTAAATTTTAATTTAAATGTCTTAGGAAAATTATTTCATTATAAATCTGAAAGTTTAATTTAAATGACATCTTTTTTTTTTAACGAAGAAACAAAAACATGCAAATAATCATTATCTTTTGATTTTGCCATTTGATTAGGGACTTTCCGTTTTGACTTTTCCTCAGCGTTCAATATTTTTGTGATTTTACTTTTTTTTTCACCACAAAAAAAGCACTGATAGACCTTCAAGACAATGTTAAAAAAACTTTCAATCGTTGGATCAAAATACAGTCTGTAGTGGTGAAAATACAGAGAAATTAATCATAACCAGGATAAACCTCATCTGAAGTTATTGCAACTATCATCATCTCTGTATTGA